TTTGGGTTTGCTTGAAAAGAGTATTAAGATATGTGAAAGAATCTGTAGATCTTAAATTAACATATAAACGCAATGATAATTATGTCAATATGGTTGAGAGCTATGTTGATTCAGATTGGGGAAATAATGAGCTAAACAGGAAAAGTACTACAGGCTATTTATTTAAAGTATTTGAAAATTGTACAATATCCTGGAACTCAAAACAACAAATCCTCAGTAGTTGCTTCTTCTACTGAAGCAGAATATATGGCTCTTTTTAAGTGTGTTAGGGAAGCGAAATGGCTAAGAAATTTATTAGAGAGCATTAATTTCAAAATACAAGCCCCCATAATTATTTACGAAGATAATAATGGTTGCATAAATATAGCAAAGAACCCTATAAATCATAAAAGAACCAAACATATTGACATAAAATATCATTTTACACGTGAACAAATCTTACAGAAAACAATAGTATTGAAATATATTTCAACAGGTGAACAATTAGCTGATGCGTTTACGAAGCCACTACCAGCAGTAAAGTTTCACATGATAAGATCTAAGATTGGCTTACTGTAGATGTTTATTTTTTTTGATAACTATAATAGTTTTGTATTTTTGTTTTGTCTGTGTTTTAATTTTTTTTTTTTTATATACCTACCAGTTTATTTTCTTAGAAATAATAAATAAGATATATTTAGGATATAAGGAATGCATATTTATATACTGGTTGAGTCTTTTTTTTGAGTGGGCGTGTTAGAATTATGATTATACAAAAACAAGTCAACCAGGTTCCAAAAGGCAATATGTGGCAATATTAAATTTGTTTTAAAAGCCTGAGAAAAAGCAAATGCCATTATCTACATAATAAAATGTATTATCAGTCAAAACTTATTTAAAGAAAAAGGGTCTGCTTTTATGACTTCTGGCTGGTACCTGGAAGGGTTTTTGTAAACAAGAGAAGTGGTGAGTCACGCTATGAAATGTATAATTTTGCCTGTAAAAATTATGTGAAAATTTAGTCTTAGAGAAACTGGTATCGAATACAGACATATTGAAATTAATCTAGCGTTTTATTTCCCATAAACCACTTAATGGAAAAATAATAATACTCAATATTCGTAATATGGCTATTATCATTAGTAATGTTTTAACTTGTTAAAAGAAAAATTGCGACATTTCAAAGTTGTGTTGAACATCATTGCAACAAACATGAATTTTGTGATTCCATAAAAAATTAAAAATCTAAGTTAATTTTACAAATATGCTTGAATTTGAACAAAGTTATGTAAAATTGATCTGGTTTTAATTAATTTTTGGAAGTATTAAGGGCGGAAATAAAAAATAAAAAAAATATAGAAATTATAGATTTTTTTCGAAAGAAAATAAAAAAAATCTTAGGAGGCTATGTTTTGGTATTTAGGCATAACTTTTAATTCCAAACAACTTTTCTCTATAACATTTTGCTGAATTTTCTAAAATAAGGGTACTTTACAGTACCAGCTTTGATATTGTTTGAGGTACCCTGTATGCTGTTTGACTTGCATCCATTCTAAGTGCACCTAATATGATTATCAGACATGCACCAACTTTTGGCCTTGTTTGTATTTGGGTTGTGCTATTACTAAAAAAAATCCCCATATGTTGCACACTTAAAAAATCACACTGTATATCTGACATAAAACAGAAGAAAATTGACAAATGCAGTTTTTTATGACATAAACAGGAATATTATCTGGACCACTGCTTAGGTCAGATTTCAATTGTGAAGTTTTATTAGAAACCTCCATAACCTTGATGTTAATGCTACTTAGATTTACGGTTAAGTCGTAGGAGGCATTAAATTCGGTTTCATCATATTCCGCATATACAGACGAAAAATGGCCCTTAAAGAGGTCAGCAATACCGTGTCAGCATTATCATTCATGGAAAATATACAGGGTGTTTGGAAGGTCGATGCAAAGTCTTGGGAAGGTGATAGGGTAGGTCATTTAGACTTAATTAAGCAAAACATACCTTAGTACAAAGTCTTACGGTTTTCAAGTTTTTCGAACGTTTTGGATTTCTTTAAAAAAAAGGCAATTTTTCACTTTTTTCTCCTTTTATCTCTGAAATAAAAGATGACAGCTTGACAATAATTTTTTTTTCAATAGCAGAACGTGTGTCTCTTCTGAAAATGTAAAGAACAGAATACCAAACGAACTACAAAAAAATAATAAATTAATGTTTGGTAATTTTTCTTTCTCCTGATCAAAAATTAATTTTTCTGATAAAGTATTAGATACTAATAAAATCAGCTTGTTTACAGCTGATTTAGTTGATAAACTTCAGCAGAAATAGTATATTACACACCGAGGTGGAAAGTGTTTCATTACTGTCGAGAGATTTATGAATTTTATGAATTTTATGAAATCTCGAGACAGTAATGAAACTTTTCACCGAGGTATGTATACTATTTTATTTACAATCATTCGAATTTTGAAATTTTCATTTGGATTAAAACTAAAAAATACAATAATTAACAATTTCATTTACTTTCGGCCCACGGGCCGAAAGTAAAAGTCAAAAAATACAATAAATTTTAAAAATTTCATTTACTTTCGGCCCACGGGTCGAAAGTAAACTTTCGACCCGTGGGCCGAAAGTAAAAGTCAAAAAAGTGACATTTTCGAACTTTTTAAAAGTCAGTAAAGTCAACATTACATGTATGATTGTAAATAAAAGTAATTTTTTATCAGTAAAAAGAAAAATTACCAAAAATGTATTTATTATTTTTTTGCGGTCAGTATGGTTTTCTTTTCTTTACACTTTCAGAAAAGACAAACGTTCTGTTATCAAAAAAAAAATCATCAGACTGTCATCTTTTATTTTAGAGATAAAAGGAGAAAAAAGTGAAAAATTGCCTTTTTTTAAAGAAATCCAAAACGTTCGAAAAACTCGAAAACCGTAAGACTTTGTATTAAGGTATGTTTGGCTTAATTAAGTCTAAATGACCTCCTCTATCACCTTCCCAAGACTTTGCATCGACCTTCCAAACACCCTGTATAAGTAGGAAAACCTTTTGCATTTTTTTTTTTTGAATTTACGTAACTCCAAAAACCATTTCTGTCCTGTATCTTATCCTCTATGGTATCTAAGTACTTTTGATGGCTGACGTGGGCATGTTCACGACACTGAGTGCGTATTTGAGAAAAAGTACAATACTCTTCCAAAAAAAGTGATTGTTTGTTGTGCTCTTTTCTTGCTCAGAATTAGATTTTAAAGTTGATCATCCATCCATTTTGGAAACTTTGGATTTTTGTGTCTGTTTAATGGTGTAGATAACTTATTGGCATGATTCAGATTTTCGTAAAATAATGCGCATACCTACTTTACCAATGTCCTGTATCAAAAGAATATTGTCCCAATCAGCCAGCGAAAAAATCTGTTGCAAAATATTGTAGTTACATTGCTGAAGTTATAATACCAGTAGTCATAAGCTAAGTCGACTTCCTAGTCCAAACTAATTTCAAACTCAAGAGCTGGATGGGGTTTATCAATCCTTGAGAAAGGATTTGGACTGACAGTGATTAAAACATTTTCACAATTGCTAAAGATGAGATCCAAAAAATTCCCATAAGGATTTAATTGGTACTTGATTTAATTGTGACAAACCACAAAATTCCATACAATCTGCAAGACAGCTTGTTTCTTCACTACTGAGTCCAATGGGTCTAGTACCATGATAACTCTGGATCCATGAGACCTTAGGTCTATGGAAATCTCCACAAAGGAATAAATCTAGATTTTCACATGAGTATTTATCTAGGATGTGTAGAACCGATGATGAATAGTACTCGTATATGTTTCTAGCGGTGAGTTTGGTGGGATATAGATAATACCAAATAATAAGTGTCAATAGTAACCATAACAAATTGCTCAAGGTAATCCACATTTTTGGAAAAAGCATTTTGCATTTTAGGTCCTTATTCACAGCAATCATTACTTCACCATGAGCCCCACATTTACTTGATTTTTGAGAACGGTCACACCTGAACACTAAGCCCAATTCGCAAGTTGAGATACTTTCATCAAGAAATGTCTCTGTTAGAAGGATTATGTCATAGGATTCACTCAAGAGATTGCACATTAGGTTATTTAATTTGGTCTCTAGACCTCTGACATTCTGATAACAGCAGTTTAATCCCCGTTTTTTGATGATGCAGGCCAATTACCAGGATAACCTTGGATGGTTTGTGGACTTTGTGGTTTTCTGAGAAGATTAAAATTAAATTCATGAAAGACTACTCCTGTTGGCCAGAAGTCGCAGCTATTTACCTCATCAAAGAGTGTGCTTCAAATCCCACCTTGAATGATTTCATCTTAAAGTCCTTGCGAATTTCTTTGACAATAATATCGAATTGGTAGAGGTTTTATTTGGGATTGGAACGAAATAAAACAACAGAAGTCTGTTATTTCAGATTGTCGACGTTTCGCAATATATTATTGAAAGAGTAACAGCTGGCTGTGTCTGTCTTATATATTTTATTTTAAAAGTGGTTAATTTTTAAGTTTTAATCTTTGATTGTTTTTATAACGTTATTGTGATATTTTTTGATAAGTTTTAAACTGTACCATGTATGTGAATGTTACGTGTCCTCTGAATCTGTACCTACCTAACAACTTCGTATATTTTTTATGTTATGACATAGAAAGTCAATCTCAAATGTAAGTACCCAATAATATAAGTATAACTGGAGTTGTTAGGACTCTATAGAGTAACATTGTCTTACCATTTTGTAGTGTCCTGAAGATGCAATAATATATTGCGAACCGTCGAAAATCTGAAATAACAGACTTCTGTTGTTTTATTTCGATCCAATCCCAAACTAAACCCCAACCAATTACAATTAAGGGATCGACAACAAACTAACCAATTAATAATATCATTGCCTGAAATATTTAATTTATCACTCATATATTTTCGAATGTCACTGCTTGTAGTAATATAGTCAGCAGACATTCTACCCAGATAAATCCACTTTTTAGGCGAAAATGGTACTGCCTTAATCAGGTCAGAAACATTAGTTCCCAAGTTGAGGCTTGGTTTAATTAATACTGTGAGGCCCGGTAAGTTGATTTTGTATAAGAGCTGAATGTGCTGTTCCTTGGCTGAAGTAAGCGATGATTCGTTCGTGTTATCCTTGTTGGCCAAGGCCAATGAATTTTGTAAGGTCACTGAGTTTGATAGTGAAACTGAATTAGGCGATGTTGCCGTAATTAACTTGGCACTCGTCTGATTTTGAGCAAACTCTTGAATAGGCATCAATCTAACTAATTCTTTGTTAGAATCAATTATATATTATTTGCAGCAGTGTTGAATTTGCAGTAGATCTTTTCCTCAATTAAGTCAATAGATTATTGGCTTATCCGTTTTATTAGGTTAACCAATTGATCATTATCTCGATTATCTGAGGTTTTTAGTTTGTCTTCAAGCTCCCTTATACACTTTTCATGCTTTTTTACTACATGTCCCTGAATTCCACCAGTTCCAAAGCTAAGGACTTATTTTTCGATTTTGACAGCATATTTCTCTTCTGTATCCTCAAAACGTTTATTTAGGTCAGCTAATTTGGCTATGAATGGGTTGTATCCATCCTTTTCAATGATTTGGTGTTCTAGATAAACTTCATTGCAAGTTTTGAAGTAAATTATGTTCGAACAGATGATACAAAAACAATCTTTGATCTCTTTGGATGAGGGTTTGTTCTTACAATAGTAAAAAATGTACTGCATGTTGTAATTTGATCTCTAAAGCTTGGTTTTCTAATTATCCTCACTCGCAAGTTTGGCAACCTTGGTATGTAGGTATTGTTGTTGTTTTATTGTAACCTCTTTTACCTCACAAAAATTTGTAAAAAAAATCGCAAATATTTATTCGAATTTTCGAAGTATTCCACTAGATTTGAGCTCCATTTATATAACAGTCATGAAGAACAGGTTGAACTACAGCTTTTAGCACATTTTCAAGCAATTCAATGCACAGATTTATATTAAAAAACTGATTTTTAAAAATGAAAAGGAAAAAAAAACTGATGACTGTCACGAAACATTAATTAATATTAATTGTTAACCGTAATAATCCTTACCAGTGCTATCTAAAGATAAATTCGATCCATGCCTGGAAGGTGGTTTGCTACCAGGTCGACTTCCAGTCCTAGAAGTAGGCCGGGAATTATTCCTCGAACCTCCTGGAGTCAGTGCTGACCTATAACTTGGCCTTTTGGGAGTTCTGAAACCGCTCTCGTTATCGCTAAGAGAATCTGGAGTACCGGCAGAAAGACCGGATTTGGAATTTCTTGGAAGGCTTCCCATTGGTACGGACCTCTGAGATCTTTCTCTGACCTAAATTGATGAAAGACAATTAAATTATTGTTAAATTTAATAATTGTTAGAAGTGATGCTACAAGAAACAACTAAATTGTAGTTTTGCACACAGAGACTCATACATACTATATTTTTTTGATTGTGTCTATAGACACCAAAAAAACAGTCAGACAGTATACCTCGGTAAACAAGAGAGAATTCTAACATTTTTTTTTTAACAAAATTTTGTTGCGTGGAGAAATTCTTGGAAGTCAGTTGTGCGTCATAAATGTTCTCCGTACTCACCAGCAACAAGATAGTTTTAACTTCATCTGGTGACGTCAATACAATCTTCATTTCGCACAAAATGAAATTAATATTCAGAAAAATCTTTTTTTTTTTTGCTAAAAATTCAATATTTCATTTTACTGACCTGCTGAATACCTACCATAGGCATTTGAGACAGATACAACAGTTTGTGGTGATCTTTTTCTGCGCCGATAACAGCAACTAAATAATATACGTGAACGTAATACATATTTGCTACCACTGAATATGACATTCATACAGGGGATAATAACATTTTGTCGTGTTGCGATAAAAAAAACGGGCGTAAATTTGAAAAATCGTATATCACAGTCGTGCGCATGCATTACTAAGTTTGTACAGTATTCATGAAAACGAGCTACAAATTTACAGCTTATGAAAAATTATGAAAATTGAGCAATATATTATGATATGTAACTGGCAAACTATAAAATCAACCATTTTAATGAATACCCAGGAATCCAAAAAGTATCAAAAGGTGTTTTACTTTAATACTTCATTTAGGTATTATAATCCCTACAAGTTGACAAGCAAAGTTGTTTCTTCCATAGACTATTCATATGACATAAGTATTTGGTTCTTAAGTAGTTGACTGTAGTAGTTATGAAATCAAATATGTACATATTTACAAGCTGTCTGATCTGAGAATTCGAAAAGGGCCTCAAAAAGTTGACGATATTCAGTTTGCAATTATTAATGAAGAAAATGTGGAAACATTTCAAGGACATTGACAAAACAAAAGATATCAGCTTTGTTTCAATACAGCAGGAAATCGTACAATGTAACGTCACGAGTCTGCGTAGAATATAGATATAAAAGAATATATAGAAAAATTTCCGAAATTCGTGCGTAGAATCCGACATTCGTATACAGAGTGGTTTCAAAACCGTTCATAGGATGGTTTTTGGCTTGTTGTAACAGATCTATTGTAAACCTCTTCCAGCTTCAATGTACCGGGTGCTACTGATTCAATCTTCAAATATCTGCTCCTCCAAGTAGGCCAAAGGTGAAAATTGAACAAGTTATCCCAAAACAAAAAATAAAATGGAACATTTCCTAGATTTCTAGGTATTCATTCCTAATTATTAAAGTAATGTAATACACAAACCTTGTTTATAAATTATGTACCTTGCATTCAGGGTTAGAAGCCAAGTTTTTTTCAAGTTACATATAAAACAAAACAGTATCAATTTTCTGACATATGAGCCTATATATATGTATATATATTTTTTTTAAATGGAGCACCCTCATACAGGGTTGTCGTTATGTATGAAAGCGGCCTGATATTTCTGAACGCACTTGAGAACAATGTACCACATAATACATATGTCCTACCTGGGGGTTTTGGAGATTGCCCGATTCAATGGTGGTATTTGCAACTTTACCGTTTATAAGATGTCGTATGTAACTTGATTTTTTTAAATGAGAGTCCCTCTTTATTTTTATCGTTATTAATTCAACGACCCAACATTACTAAATCCCCTAAATGCCAAACCTCCATTTGACTTGGTTTTTGGAACATTGCAACACAGCTTTTTTATTGAAATGTATGGAAACGGTCTCGTATTTCAGAATAGGCTTTAGAAAAATGTGATTGTACAGGGTGTTTCCTCATGTTTTGACCCCTACCAACAGCTTTAGCTATACGAGGTGGAAAAAAACTGAATATGAAAGTTGTACGGTTTTATTGGTAGTATATTTTGGCGCTTCTAGAACAAACCAATGCAAATCACAAAATCAAAATAGATCTGTTTCTGCAGAAATCACAAACCAGTCAGAGTGAATTTCATTGGTTGAAACTAGTTTTCTGACTTCTTCAACCAATGAAATTCACTTTGACTGGTTTGAGATTTCTGCAGAAACAGACCTAATAAAACACCAAATCATTTTTTTAACATGGAACACCGTGTATATTTTAGGCTCTAATGAAAGTCTTTTTCCTCCTGTTTGTTCCTTACAGGGTGTTCCATTAAAAAAATATTATTTGGTCTTTTATTATAATTTTGCGATTCGAATTTGTTTGTTTTAGAAGCGGCAAAATGTACTACCGATAAAATTGTACAACTTTCATATTTAAATTTTTTTTTCCACCTCATATAGCTAAACCTGTAGGTAGGGGTCAATATATGAGGAACACCCTGTACGTATTCAAGATTTATAGGGGGGTTGGTAGGCCCAAGTAGAAAATATTGTACATTTTTCTAAAGCCTATTCTGAGATACGAGACCGTTACCATACATTCCAACAAAATAGCTATGTTGCCATATTTCAAAAACCAAGAATGGAGGTTTGGCATTTAAGGGTTTTAGTAGGTAATGTTGGGACGCTGAATTGATTACAATGAAAATAAAGAGTGACTTTCATTTAAAAAAATCAAGTTACACAAGGCATCTTAGAAACGATAGACTTGGCAACATTGCAAATAGCACCATTGAATCGGGCACTCTAGGTAGGAAATATTGTACATTGTTCTTAAGTGCGTTCAGAAATATTAGGCAGTTTCCATACACATATACAACCCTGTATATGTGTTTGATAGAATATCTTATTCCGATTACAATGATATGACACACTTTATATTTTAGTCCACTCGTTTTTGACAAATCGGCAAAAATATGAAGTTTTAATATACACTGTAAATAATTCACGCCCCAAATGTCAGACCACCGCGGCCTAATAAGTTTCACTCCAAAGTTTCATATTTTTTCCGATTTGTCAAAAACAAGTGCACTAAATTATGAAGTGTGTTATATTATTGTAATCGGAATAAGATATTCTATCAAACACATATAGAATATAAAGGGTATTCCATTAAAAAAAAAAATATTATGTAGGCTCATATGTCAGAAACTTGATAGTGTTATTTGTTTATATGTAACTTGAAAAAAAAAACTTGGCTACTAACCCCTTTATTTTGTGTTTTTGTTTACCTTGATATCTTCAAAAACAAAAAAGTTACAGCAAATTAAAATGTTATCAAGATAAATTGAACGCACAGTACAAAAATACAGTTTAAAAAATTGGTGTAATGGTATAACTCGACTACGTGGAGTAGAGGAGATGCCTAGCGCTGCATGTTTTTGTTACATAGCAACTCGCATGAAACGAACTTACCCTACCGTGTGTAAAGAAGTTTCACTTCAAAAAGACATGTAGAATGATAATGCCTAGGTATTCCATAAATTGATTAAATTACGCAAGATGCCAGCAACATATACATATAAACATAAAAGAAATAATAAAAAATATTGTACAAACTGAAATCACCTATACCATAAAAAAAACCTCAACCAAGAAAAAACCATAGACTTAAACATTATAGTACTTTAATTTGGCTTTTACCAAAAAGGTGGTATGGCTTTCAGACACCAATCATTTTCTGCGGCAGAACTAAGCATCCTGAACAAATCTAAATTTTATAAGTTGACTATAGTTGAAGAATTTAAATCTATGCTTTGAGTGTCAATGACTGATCAGTCCAAACCTATTGATCTAAATACAAACTCATTACTAGCACACACAGACAAAAAAAACATCTTGCCAGTGAGTTAAAACACCAGAAAGATAAAAACTTTACCCAGTAGCAAGTGTTGGGGTTGGCATGGGCCATGTGAAGTGTGGGGCCCGCGGTGGATCCCACGTGCAGTGGATACGCGTTGCCAGTTTCTCCCCTACGTCGGATCTCGTCAAAGATCGGCATTAGTTCGGCCAAGTGTTCGTGGGCTACAGGTACAATAAACAACGTGCCAGAAAAAGAAATTCATGAAAGAGTTTTCAGTGTACAGTGTGTATAGTATTTATATTAGAGAGTGCGCTTGACTAGATAGGCTGTGTGTGATTCATTTTCAAGACATCTATTTTTAGTTCCAAATTTGAATGAATAATAAATGTCTTACAAAATATACCAATGCGTGTATAAAAAAGCTACCTAATAGAGCTTTGAATCATTTGATATAGGAAAAAAAAATTGCAAATATTTACAACCCGCGTTAAAATATTCATGTATTTCAGTGGATCCACCCTTTATCGTCTCCTGAGGATTTGTGATTGATTTTTGAAACGGTGCTGCTGCAGCTGATATTATTTACAAACCTTTTGCGACATAATTGAAGCTGTATGTACTTACCGTTATCTATTGCTAAGCTGTATTTACCTGTATAGAAGAAAATCTAAAATTGGGACATGCGCTCTCCAAAAAATGCATACTTGCACATACATACCGAACCAACCAAAACTACAATAAGCTAGTGGCATGACAAATTCCTAAATATAACTTGTTTCAATAGGTATAGTAGGAGTACCGTAAATCCTAATTTAACAATACATTGAATGATAGATAGCATATGAGAAATTTAATATACATTTACGCACAAGGCTAAAAAATGATGTCAAATATTTTAATCTGTTGAAAGCAAAATGATATAAGCTATATTTACAATAAAGTGTAGCGATGTACGTAAATGTTAAAAAGGAGATGTGACAATCTATAAAGATTTCTAAGCAAGCCTCGGCTCAGAATGATTTTTATAGATTGAGATGGATCTCCTTGATCCATATGAATCCTGCTGGTGCAATACCTTAGTGATTGGCCCTTGAGGTGTGCGTAGTGAACTCGAAGAGGAACCGGAAACGGGAGTGGCTGAAGACCGTTTGCTCTTAAAAGCGGTCATGGTTTGAGACACGCCGTCCGCCAAGATGAATTGCTCACGTAGCTCAATGTTAGTGCGGCCTTTAGCTGTGTATTTTTGGATATTTTTGTATAGGGTGGTAAGGGTGATTCGGTTCAAATAATAAGGTAAAAAAAGGGATGGGGAGGGTGCGAGGGTGCAAGGAATGAAAGAAAAAAAAACAAACAAAACAAAATAAGCAAAAATTGTCTTTTGATGCGATTAGAGTGTGGAGTATCACAACAAAGGAACATTTATAGACTATACATACGCGTTCATGCGTAAAATGTTTCATAATAGTTACTTTGCTGTGAAACGTGCACAAAAATGCTTTGTAAATGTTTTACCAAACCAAATAAATAATTCACCACTTTCTAACTACAGAGTGGCAATCGAATACAGAAAATTGAACTACAATACTCGTGTGGTAAAACAAGTACATACTTTGAAAAATATGTATCCAAAAAGTATAATAAATAATCACAAAATCAAACGAAAAAAGTAATATTAGGTGTTAATAAGCAAACCATAGACATGCACCAAACAATATAAGCCCAAACAAAACAAAAAAATGAAAACCTTATGAATGCAATTATTTGGTCTACAGTTAGAACTCGAGTTAGAATTATTGTATATTCCTTTTAAGATCTACCAAGATATTGATAAAAATTACCTTCTTAAAAATAGTGAAGTTTTTCCAGTTGTTGCAGCAAAATGGGCTTTTTGTTTTAGTTTTGTTTTAAAATTTAAAAAAAATAAATATACAAGTATCTAAGCATCATAGTTTAAATTATTGATAATAAATTTAGAAACAAATAAACTGTAGACCAAAACTGTACACACAAAATTCCTCCTTACCAAGTGGGCACCAAGGCTCGTGCTGCTCAGGTATATCGGGGTGCGGTAGGGGTAATACTAGTGTGACTATTTATTTTTTTTTTGCAAAAGCGCATAATCAAACATTACATAGAAAGCCGCCAAATTAATTTTTAGCAAATTATGTATAACCAAATAAAAAAAAAAACGATGTCCAAGAGGAGGGAAAGAAAGAACAAAAGATCCATGATTAGTAAGATGAATTGTTATTATTATAATAAAGCAGTTATAGGAATTTTAAATACGAACCAAACTTTATGAGATAAAAATTACAAACCTGTATTTAAAATTCCTTGTTGATGAAGTAGGTATACAATTATTGTAAGAGCAAAATTAGAATAGCAATTGCCTCTATGATGTGATATTATGAGCAGATACTGTGAGACGTAATGCATCCAAATAAATTTATTAAATATGATTTAGTATGAATTATAATGATTTTTGATTGATTTGGATGCACTATAAATATTAAAATATTATTCCCTCAAGAGACGTATTGTGGGTTATTTCGCACGTTAATATTGACAGACCAACGTTAATACATGAATTGTGTTAAATTATGTTCAAAATACTTCACTTTTTGGGTTAGAATGAACAGATAATTATATTAATAAATTTGTGAGTGAGTTGTTTAATATCCCCTGTTATTATTTTTTAAAATTTTCTTAATGTTAAATATTTTTTTAAAACCTATGTGGGACTTGCATAATAAAAATTGAGAATTCTTAGATAGAATTTGAAAAATCACACATAAATTTTAAATTAAATTAATATAAATAAATATCAAAATAAATTCAATAATATAAACAACACATACCTCTGCATGGATCGTTTTTCACAAGGAACTCATCGAGGGCTACCCAGCCACCTCCGACACGTACCATCACAGTACTACGGAGAATACGCACTAGGCGTAATTTTTGACTCTCTCCAAACTAAAAAAAAATCTCATTTATTTTTAAATATCTCTAGAGGAAGTTTTGGATTCATACGCGATATTTTCCTTCTCCAACTTGGAACACTCTGAATTTCTGTCTGCAAGTACATAGCATAACCAGCCGTTTAACTTCATCGTGTATTTTCTGGGCGTCATGGTCGGGTGCCTTTTCTTCCCAATCTGGCCTGAGGGCTGCAATGAATTTCTTCCAATCTATTAAGCCTCTGTTGTTTTCATCAAACATATCAGCGACGTGTTTCATTTCTAGTCTCGAAGTGTCAAATTCTAAATAAATTTTTATTAAAACAAACCTAATTTCAAAGATTGTTCTTACTAGTCCTAATAATTCCATCAATGAAATCTTCCCTCGGTATCAGTTCGTTGTTATCCTTATCCATTTTTCTAAACAAATCTGTAAGCCTGGATTTTTTGTAATTCATAAACTTCAGGAAGCGTTTTCTCCAGTCATCCCACGAGAAGTTGTCGGCCTTTTCTTTTTCCTTCAAATAAGCCAAATGATCGTACAGCTCTCTTTGTCTTTCCCATTCCAGTACCCATACATGACGCCATTTGTCGTAGAGGAATTTCACTCGGGGTGAACGGAATTCCGGTTCGCTATAGAGTTTTGTGATTGTTAGTTTTTGGGGGTTGAAAGGTGGATGTAACTCTGATATTATTATCTTGGATTTAGAACTACAATATATATGTATAATACTATATAGAAAAAAATAATTTCAGAGCTACAAAAAATATGATTGTGGGTATTGTTCAAAATTTTACTGTGCATATTTTGTGGCAGTTTATTATTGGATTATCAATTTGTGGTCTTAAAAAAAATTTGTGTCAGATGTCAGCTATTGATTAAAATAAGCAAATTGAATATGAAATTGTAATAGTTATTTATGCAACAAGTGTGTAAAGTGAACTTTTTTTCACGAATGTGAATTTTGACGCACGAGCCGAAGGCGAGTGCGACAATTACATGAGTGAAAAAAGGTGCTTTACACACGTATTGTATACAAAATTTTTTCTACTACCAATCAAATATGTGTAAAAAAATTGATTTAGACAAACACTTCACGAACTAGTGCGTGAAGTATTTTCACTTGTACGTACTAGTGCGTGAAGTAATTTACCAGAAAATTTCTAAATTGACAGTGTCAACATCTGTCATTGACATTACTTTACGCACTAGTGTGTGGAATGGAATTTTACGTCTTCTGAATAGTGCGTAAAGTGCGTACTTTACGCACGGTAGTAGAAAAAATAATTTATATAAAGTATCAACTTATATGTAATAATCTAATAAAATATAACTAGCTAATTCGTGCATAAAAAACCAAACCAAAAAAATTACCCGAACATGAGATTCAAATGAAAAATATCACCACCAAACCTTGCCTCATCATTCATTAGACCCATATGTCGTTAGCCGATTTAATATGGCTATTTTTTCTATATATGCGCCATATATCGTCTAGTAAATTATTTGTTAAAAATGTGTATGGTGTGATTAGTAATAAACTAAATAAATTACGAATTTGATGATGTATTTATGTACCTTCCAGCTGGTGGAAACCGTGGCCCAATATGAGGATATCCAGGTTCTGGACTGAGTTCTCTGCCAGGACTAGCGCGACTGTTGAGAAAAAAGCAACATGCAACATACATAATAAATGGATCTTTCAGGTATCAAAAAAATATAATATAAACAATACATAGTTTCCAATATATTGTTTATTTTGATTCCTGATAAGATAATTTATCATAAATATCTCAAACACTGGAACATTTAGGCCCGGTTTATTCATCTCCAGATTAACTTACTGGTAAGTCTACAAGATAAATTTACCAATCTATAGTCCCATTGGTCGGCGAATAACTGGCCGTTTTTTCATCGGTCAGATTGCATTACCTGACAGTTCATCAGGAGGTGAATAAACCGGGCCTTAGTGTTAATAAAAAAAAATAACAAAAATAAACTAGCAAAATAAGTTAGTCGAGTTAGAACATCTACTACTAATAAGTGGATGCTAAAATCAGTTCATTCAATATTTTTTAAATTGGATTAGGAAAAGAGACTCATTTATTTACATTAAACTCTGTTCCAACCGACATGAGAACCGTTCTAGAACGGTAATTTCCAGTCAATCAATTCATTTTAGTCAACCATCCAAGGACCTTTTTTTTCAGTTATACATGTAAACCCCATACTTTATGAGTGGCTTGCTTACATCAAGTCCTACAACTTTTCCTCTACGACTTTTCTCGGAAATGGCACGTATGCGCGCAGGCGACTCGCAAACATGTCGATCTGACGTAGCTATGTTTCCTGATACATGGAGGTAAATCTAATTTTACGAATACTATTTGATTTTTATGTCTAAATCACGGAAATAAACTTGGCCGACAAAAATAATGGCAAATTGGGGGAGTCCGATACCCCCATTTGATTTTTATTTCTAAATCACGGAAATCAAGTTGGCCGACAAAAATAATGGCAAATTGGGGGAGTCCGATACCCCTAAAATGTTTGCGAGTCGCCTGCGCGCATACGTGCCATTTCCGAGAAAAGTCGTAGAGGAAAAGTTGTAGGACTTGATGTAAGCAAGCCACTCACAAAGTATGGGGTTTACATGTATAACTGAAAAAAAAGGTCCTTGGATGGTTGACTATTTGTCAAGTAGGATAAACTGGCAACTGGAACGGTTCTCGTGTCGGTTGGAACAGAGCGATAATAACACGCGCAAAAGTAGGTATATATTTTCTTGTAAAAATTGAACAAAACCCCAGATTCTCTATCTATAAGTTCTTATGAAGAGAAATAACATTTAAGGGCCCCACACACTACGTTCTGTCTCGTCGGTTTTCATCGTCGCGATTAACAACGTCGTGTTTCATCGTCAGCCTGTTTTCACCACACACTACGCGATTTGTTGGCAGTTGGACTAAGATAAAACGGTTTTGGAACGAAATGTTGAACCGTCGTGCCAAAAATGAAGCTCGGACTAAATTTTAAACCCACGATGAAACACGACGGTTTTCTACCACACACTTCGGTTTTAGATCGTTGTGTTTCATCGCGGCGATGAAAACCGATGAGAAAGAACGTAGTGTGTGGGGTCCATTAGAGATTATATTTCGATATACCTATCAATCAACTTTCCGAAATAAAACCCTGCATACTACATATTATTAATGCATTTTATTAAATATGCTCCTTTACCAAAGCAAAGAAAATAAATGATCAGTTCTAACCTGCCACGATGAGACAGCAAGTCTCTTGATCCCTTGAAGCTAGAAATGAGAAAAAAAAATGCAATCAAACGACCACATACCTATAATACAATTTCAAGGAGCGTTTTCCGGATAATTAAGTGAATTACGAAAGCTTTACATGAAAATACATTTAATTATAAGAAAAATGCTCCACATGACAACATAAAATGATTATTTGAGTGCCAAAATAAACATACCTTTGCTTGCGTCCAAGGGTGCCGTAGTCGGATGAACTTTCATGAATATCGTGCTGTGATCCGCGACTGAAGTAAAAATAAAGCAACAATCACAACATGCACTAAAATGTATGACAAATTAACACAATGCAAGTAAACACGAAAAAAAAAATTGCCTAATGCTTAATAATAGTACGGAAAATTAATCAAATGAGGGAATCTTCACACTACATACATGTTATTCTGATTTACTTATGGGTTATCAATTTTCCCAATATGTGGCTTTCAATGCAAAGAAAGTGAAACGAAAACATCCAAACAACAAATAAGTATATCTTTGCAGAGATAGCAATTTTACTGCGCTAAATGCAGCGCTCCTATTGGGTGAGCCCTGCGTTAAATTCATCAACAGATTATCATAGAGGAGAAACACTCACGCCAGATTCGATATGATCATTTCACCTAGGTACTTTGCATTAAAAGCGGGAGACTAGACTACCAGAATAGTATGTATATGATTTTACCAACAATAGGGCATTTGCCACCCTTGGAAAATCACAAAAAAAATACCAACAATTATTAATGAATTATCACTGACTAATGTAAATCATAAATAAATATACGTACATAGGTCCTTTCCCTTTTCCAAACTTCCTGGGATCCTTAACAGCTTGAGCAAGTTTAACCTGCTTAGCTTTGCACACTCTATCAACTTCAACTTGTCTTTTTTGCGTGTTCTCCATGAATTCTTTATGGTCAGCAATCAATTGCTCCGTAGCTGGAATGTCCATAGGAAGCTCCTCTCTTTTCAAAGCTATAAGTGTGTTTTCAAGTCCCAAGAGCCATTGAATAAGTTCTTCTAGGGTTTCATCCATGTCTCGTAAGGATTGCATATGACTAGAAAGTTTTTGGTGTCTTTGAAGAGCCCATTGGGAAACTTCTTCCCATCTGGATTGAATAACTTTAATCCAATTTTTGATTACGTTTATTGAGTCGGGATGGGATTTGGCGAGGATATTATGTGCCAAATTGAGAGTTTGATCTTTTTCAATTTCTTTCTGATTGAGTTGAGCTCTGAATTCATCCAAAGCTTTTAGTTGCTCATAGGCTGTAGCTTCATCTTCAGGAGTGCTTCCCACAAAACGAAGTTTCATTTCAGCATCAGACAACCAGTCCAATATCATATTAACTGACTTATGAAGCTTTTCAGCCTCCTTCAAAGCATCATGTAATCTATCAGTCTTCAGATGAGAAAGTCCAGTAACAGATTCCCATAATTGCGTCAAATCTGTTAATTGTCTTCTAATATGCGCGGCATCATGTTTGCTTGCAGTCCTCTCCAATTCTTGACCATTTCGCATAACGGATTCCATTTGATCATTTCGTTTTTCAAGTTCTTTTTCAAACTGCCTGTGCAAGTCGAATAAATGGTTCACAGTGTCTAGATCACCATGTACTGGACTGTCTTCTGATAATTCTTTTTCGGCCTTTCTAAGCCATTCCATGAGAGCAGCAACGGCATCTTTAAATTGACCAGAATAAAGGAGGGCTTCTTCAAGTTTTCGTTGAGTTTCTACGCTCTTATTGCAGACAGATGTCCATTTGTTTTTAAGCTCTGCAAGCATCTGTTTAATAGTTGTTTCATCAGTTTTAGGTGCTTTATCTTTAAGCTGTTTGCCATTCTTCATTACAGTATCATAAGTGGATTGTTTAGCAGAAAGGGCGCGTTGAAATTCGTGGTGTTTGGATAAACGAGCCTTAATTTTCTCTGGATCATTACCTGCAGTATCAGACATGAATTGGTCTAAGTTTTGATCGGTATCATCTAGCCAATTCATTAATGCTGACCAGGAGTCGTGGAATTCTTTGGCCTCTTTATAGCCCAGATCCAAAGCTCTTGTACGTTCAGCTGATTTTGAGGCTACACGCTCCCATCTATGTTGGACACTGATTAGAAGATTCTTGATTAAAATGACATCTTGTTTTTGGCTGAAATATTTAAGATGGGTTCCCTTTTTGTCTAAAGCCAGCATGATTTCACGATGAGCACTAACATCTTTTTGGAATATTTTGTGTTCTTCGATTTGTTGTTGAACCGTATCCAAAACTCTTGAAACTGGTTTTAGGCTTGTCAAAATCTTTTCAGCGTTAGTTAACCAATCAACAAATGCTTGTAGTGATTCGTGGAATTCTGTAGCTTCCTTAAGAGCAATTTCCAATTTAATTTTCTTATCATTAGCTCTAGCAGTCACGGAATCCCAACGTTGTTTCAAAGTACGCAGATTATGTTGCAGATTAGATGCAGAATTTGGCGGTGCCTTTTTAAGATACTCTTGTCCTTCAGCCAAAACTGTTTCAACTTTAGGTCTGTTTTCTTCAACTTCATTATAAATTTCCATGAAACGTTCCAGCTGTTCGGATGCGGTTTCAGGAAGACCTCCAACAGGCTTAGAAGCGGCGATGATACCGTCAACTTCACCCAACCATGAAAGTAGATCTTGAATTTCAGCATTGAATCTGTGAGCATCAGTGAGAGCATCTTCAAGCTCACGTTGTCTATCGGCTGCTTTTTGCACTAGAGAGCGCCATTGAGTGTTGAGGGTGTTGAGTTTTTCTTGAGTTGCAGATGCTTCATGGCGATCTAAAATTATTATATTGTAGCAAAAATAAGTTCACCTCGTTTCAACTTTGATAACATTTTCATCTTATGCTACATGGCCAGATTAAAATGTTTTCAAAGAAAACCAAACATTGTAAATATACATAGGTATATTTTTTTCATAAACTTACCTTCCCCACTTTCGATAATTTGTCTTCCAGCATCATTCAGTGTATCCACACTGGTCTGATGGGCTTGAATATCATTGATAAGCACTTTAAGCTTGGCTAATTCTATTTCTAGGACTTGGGCGTCACCTGCCACTGGCTTGAGTTCATCGAGAGTCTTGTCAGTTTTTGAAATCCAAACAAGAAGCTCGCTGAGGGCGTGTTGAAATTGTCCCAAACGTAACAGAGCATTTTCCAGTTGCCGCTGTCTCTCGACCATGCCTCTAAGTAAATCGTCCCACCGCTTATTGACTGCTGAAAGGGGTTCTTTGATGGCGACTGCTTGATCTGCTGTAGTGCGCTCTGTGAGTTCTTGAGCTTGCCTATATATGGGGAATAAATTAGAAGCGTCTTTGAAAATGTATAGCAAACAGAGCATCCAGGGCCGACAGTTTTGCCCAAAACACATCTGCCACAAGCTATCCCGAAGCAAAAAAGGTGCAAAATAAGCAGGAAAAAATCAGAAATATGGCATGCATGAACATAAATTGAATAAATCAAGAAATAAACAAAAAACATTTATTTAAAAGTTAACAGTATATAATCAAACAAAGAAAACTCAGCATGTTAGTTTTGTAACACTGATATTTTTGAAGAAAATTACTGCTTTAATAAATCCTTAACTCCTGCATGCTGAAAAAAGATAACACAAAAGCAGAAAAAATAGTTGAAGGGATTTTTTTTTCGTATTTGCATGCATTAGGACACAAACACAGCGATGCAGAAAAACGGAAAATATCTTGCCTTATAAGACTCCTGTAGTCCATCGGAAAAATAAGAAAAAAAAATAGTTAGTGCCATAGAAAATATTCTACATAAAATATAAAATTTTGTGATTATTTGATGAAAATTATTTTATAAAAGGAAACTTGTACTGACCTATTAAGTGCTTCAACTTTAACCATATGAGGATCAACTTCAGCCTTGAAGTTTTTGAGCTGATCAATCTGCTTCTTGACAGCATCAATATCAGCACCCAAAGGACCCATCTTTTCGAATTTCTTTTCAGCTTTGTCCAAGAATGCCAAAATATCATGCAAAGTCTCATGGAATTCCATCGCTTTTTCCATAGCGTCAATAAGATTTTCTTCACGCTTAGCAAACAAGGCTGTGATATTATCCCAAGCATTGTCAAGGTCTTCAATGTGCTTCTTAACTTCAGGTTTATCTGGCTCCCCGCATAATTTCATTAATTTTTGACCAGAGGATCTAACTTGATCAACTTCAGGTTTAGTTTGATCAATCTCTTGTCTAATTTCTTGCAAGGCCACTTGTTGCTCTTGGATGGCTTTAGGTTCAACTGCCGGTGGTTCTTGACTGACTAAAGAATCTTCAAGATCTTTAAGAGTAGCCATAATGGCGTGCAATTCTTTCCAGAATTTCTGCGCGACATCCAAAGCATTGTCCAAAGAGTTTCCACGATCCTTGGTGGCTTTTTGAACATCTTCCCATAGGTTTTTGAGTTTATCAAGTTTTCGTTTGATATCTTTAACAGCTGGGTCAGCTCTATTGCCTGCCTTATGGATAACGTCATCAGCAGCACGTTGTACTGCAGCATATGCTTCCTTTCTTTTATCTAAATCACTAACAATAGCATCATTGTCTTCAATTTGATCGCGGATTTTAGGTACATGAGCTGATATAGGTTCTTGATTATGAACTTGATCAGCAGTGTTGGTAAGAGCTCTCAACATTCCTTCTAATTTATCAGAAAATTGGGAGCTTTCTTGCATAGCCTGTTCCAGCGCTTGCTGCCTTTCCCTCAATTCTAGCTTCAAAGCTGCATATCTGGCATTGTCATTGTCAAGTATTTCTTGCACTTTAGAGCCATCATCCTCATTGCAAAGCCTTACAAGAGCCTCTCCAGTTTTGTTTAATTTGTCAACAAGCGGTTTGTGTTCATTAATGGATTGTAGGAACATCTCATTGCGATCTTGTTGTTGTGCAATAACTTCTGGCCGAAGAGCTGGCATGGAAAGCATGGAAATTTGTTCTTCCATATCACCAAGCCAATTTACCAGATCAATATGAGTATCATGGAAGTGTTCGGCTAATGGTAGGGCTTGTTCTAAAATACCTAGTCTGTCAGAGCTAAGTGCTGAAACTGTATCCATAGCTTCACGTAAATCTTCCATTTTCTCCCTAATCAAACTCGTATCTTCACTTGGAGGACTTTCTCGAAGAACCTTCTTTGCAGTTGATAATATATCCCGTACTCTGCCCTTTTGACTAGAGATATCATCATTCAGAGCTTTGTGTTCTTTTAATTGAACTCTAATTAAATCAGGCTCCGCTGAAGGCTTTTCGGCATCTCTAATTTGTCCCTCAACTTCTCTAAACCACTCCAATAATTCATCAATATCTCCAGTCACCTCCAAAGCTCTTTGTTTGCCAAGATGAATTCTTTCAGCACGTCTTTGAATTTGTTCTGCAATAGCATCAAATCTTCTATTGTCCCTTGTAACTAACCCTTCAATTGTTGCGGCACCCTCTCCAGGACTAGCTTGACACAGTTGTGGTCCCAAAACGTTAATTGCTTCCAATACTGGCCTTAATTCTTGTAAGTCTACTTCTAGGCGAGCGATATCGCCTTCATTAGATTCAGCGGACTGTAAAATCGATTCAGCACCTTGCATCCATTCAACCAACCTATTGTGGTTGTTGTGGAATTTCTGGACTAAAGGCAGCAAGTTTTGGGAAAGCCTAAGCAAATCTGCACCTCGAGAAGTCAGATCATTATAGCGGCGTTGTAAAGAGTCAAGTTTATCTTTTAATTGCAAAGCTTCATCAGATGAAATGTGACGCATAAGTTCTACACCAGCATCTACAGTTCCATCGACATCTCCTTGACGTCCAGCAATATCTTCAGTTAAAGATGTTAGGTCATCCATTTGTTCTAAAAGTCTGTCAGTGTGAACAGCGAGGACTTTATAGCGGGCTAGTCGCTGCTCCATGGAATCCATCCATGAAGCTAAATCTTGGTAAGTAAGAACAAGATGACGCAATCCTTGACGCGAAGCTGTCAACAATTGGCCAATATTTTCACTTGCATCTACAAGATTACCATATCGATCAGTTACTTCTGTTAATTTATCAGCTAAAGTAGATGCTTCGTCTTCACCAACAAGGGACATGAGATTTGAAGCTACATCAGTTAATTCGCTAAAGTCAGGTTTCTTGCTTAAAATATCATTATGTAAAGCATCATGTTCCCGGATTCGTTGTTGAATTTTTTCCTCATCGGTTGGTATAAGTTCCATATCTCTGACTTTCTTTTCGCTACGTTCTAACCAGTCTTGCAACGGAATTAGTTTGTCCTGGAATTCTTTGGCTACCTTCATGGCATGTTCTAAGTCAAGTGTACGTTGTTGAGCACCTTCCGTCAAAGCATCAAAACGACCAATAAGGTCTTTAAGTTGTTTTTCAATAGCTTTTCTCTCAGATGGTTCAGCTTCTTTGGCAATATCATTGCCCATATTAAAGAGAGATGACATAGAGTTTTGCCTGTCCAATAACATTTTCTTTAAGAATTTCTGTTCCTGTAATTGTGCCTTCACTACTTTGTAATCAGCTGATATTGGTTTTTGGTTGGCAACCAAGCCTTCAGTATCGGCAAGCCATTTTGCTAAGCCATCCAAAGCTTCTTGGAACTTTCCTGATTGTAACAGAGCAATATCAAGCTTACGTTCACGATCATTAATTTTTTCTTTAAGTGCGTTCCATTGGTCGTTCATTTTTTCTAAATCTTTTTCGAGCGGTTGAGTGTTAACTCCTGAAGCAGCTGATTGAATAAGCCCTTGACCAAATCTATTAACATCATCTACGTGCTTGCTTAACGGATCAACAATACTTGCTGTGAATTTTTTAAAATCTTTTTGTTGGGCTCTAATTCCTTCAACATCAGAGCCAATAGGTTTAAGCTTACGGACTTGATCAGAAGCATCTTTGACTCCTTCTAAAATCTCGGCATGTCCAATGTAAAAGTCTTCAAGTTTCTTAAGAGTTGCTCCAAGGTCTTTTTCTCTGCTCAGGGCGCGATCATCAAGTTTTCCAAGTTGCCTTTTCAAAGTATCAACTTGCTGGCGAGTTTGAGCAGTATCTGGAGCAAATCCGCTATCTACAAGACGTTCTCCGGCTAGAATAGCATCTTCTACATCGTTAGAGGCCTTATTCACCTTGTTGATGAATTTAGCAACGTCATCGATTTGAGCACGGACAGTTTTAACGTCTCTACCAGGTGCTTTCATGTTATCCAGTTCATTTTCAAGGCCCAAAAGATCAAGTGTTAGTACTTTGACTTTGTCATTGAATTGTGTTACTGCAGTCGCCGCGGATTGAAGTTCAGAGCAACGATCGTCCAGTTTGCCTTGCAAATCGTCAATGCGATCTCCAATACTTTCTACTTCATTTTTAAGGTGGTTTGCGTCAATGCCATTTTCTGTAGCTTCATGGCAGAGATCAGCAGCTTGATTTCTAAGAGCTTGAAGTGGTTTTTTAAGTTTCAAAGTTTCTTCTTTCAAAGCTCTAATTCGGTCTAAAAGTTTGGGATCTCTAGAAGCACCTCCTAAAGAGTCGTGCGAGGCAAGTTTATCTTCACAACGTTCTAGCCCATGTTTAAGATCTCGTAGATTCTCATTGAAATCGGCCAGTTTTCTTGATTGGTCTTCAAGCGCCTGAGTGCGCAAAATAAGATCGTTATTCAGTTTATCCCATCGTTCTTTAAGCTCTTGCAATTCGTTTTTAACGATATCTTTATCAATATCACAAGAACCAACAAAAGTATCACCCAAAGATTTTGTGTTTTCATATTCACCTGATTTTTTCCAAACTTCGTTCCTAAAAGCTTGTAGTTCTTTAAGTTGCTTTTCAATGTGCTTCTTTTCAAATGATTGTAAACGAAGGGAATCAATTTTATCCTCTGCTTGACGGAGCCAAGGAAGGAATGATTCTAAAGCAGTGTAATATTTGCGGCAATGTTCTTGACAAGTTTTTAATCTGGTTTGACGGTCTTGGGCTTCTTTACGTAATTTATCCCAAGATTGTTGAATTTTGTCTAAATCTCTCTGAATTGATCTGGTGTCGCTCTTAGTTGCCCTTGAAATCACGTCTCTTCCCTTATTAATTAACATTATAACTTCATGTTCTCTGGCAAGCACGTCTCTATAAATAGGTTCGTGATGAGAAAGTTGTTGCTCCAAGACATCTCTATCAGCAGATATTAATAACCGTTCGCTTAGTGATCCTAACTCATCAGATAGCCAACCAAGAGTTTTGGCACATGATTCTTCAAATTGTCGGCCATCTCTCAATGAACCTTCAATTTCAGCTTTTTTGAGATCAAGTTTCTTTTGCAGAGCGTTATATTGCCGCCCAATTGAAGCAAGTTTACCTTGAATATCGGCCCTTGAAGATGGATCGCTCAAAACCTCACATAGCTGAGCTCCATTAGCTTCAAGATCAGCTAATAATGGGCGTTGACCTTCCAATTGTCTTTCAAGGTTTTCAACTTTCCTCAATTGGCTTTCTGGATCTTTTTCAAACGATACTTCATCCAAGTTATCGGAAATGCCTTGCAAAGCATCTCTGAGTCTGGTAAGTTGAGCATCAAATTCTCTGCTCGTATCAGCGGCAGCTCCAAGAGAATCAGCACGTTCCTCTAATTTGCCTAATATATCAGCCCATTTTTGTTGAACTGCTGTCAATTTATTATCGATCTTTTGATGATCAGGCGTTTTAGGTTCTAAGTAAGATAAAACATTGTCTCCTACATCAAGAAGATGTTGCAATTGCGGTTGTTGCGATCTAAATTCTTCACGCAAAACTTGCACTTGCTGTACTTGAGATTGAACCATTCTTGAATCACTTGATATTGGCCCAAGGACTGTTAGCATACGTTCTTTGGCACTTAACCAAGAGGATAACGAATCATGAGTATCATGGAATTCTTTTATATCTTCCATGAATTTAATGCGGTTTTTAAGATGGTCACTAAGGCTCTTCCAGTGTGACAAGACTTCTTCAAGTTCGTCATTGAGATTATTAGCTCCAATAGCTCCAGCTTTACGCCTCAAAAGGTCTTGAACTTGGCTAGTCGTTGTATCCAATAGGGATTGTTTTTCGTACATTTCTTCCAAAATATGCCTGATTTGTTTGTTGAGTTTATCTGCTTCGTCTTTAGTGTTTGGCACACTATCTTTGGGTAATTGTCTTTGAGTTTTTTCCAGGAAGGTGCTTAGTGTTTTCAGATTATCTAACTGTTTCTTAAGCTCCTCACGTAATAAATCAATTTCTGATTGTCTGTCATTGATTTTCACTCCTAATAATGAATATCTATTATTGATTTCTGATAATTGTTGTTGGATAGGTGATAATTCTTCCAAATGGAATCCATCTTGACTCGAACGTCGAGAAGAGAATCCACTAGACCCACTAGGCGATAGAGGGCTCAACCCTTTGGTCGGAGATGGAGAACGCCCATCTTGTGAAGATCTACGTCCTGATAATCGTTTTGTGGGACTATAACCTTTGCGCCGTGAAGGAGAGTCTGGTCTATCTCCTCTAATTAAACTATCATAAGCGGAACCAATATCATTAATTTTATCGATAGTTGAAGAATATCCTTTATAATCTAACGCAATAGGTTTGAGCTCCTCGTTTTGCTTTCTCAAAGTTTCTAGGTGAATTGCAACAATGTCAAAACGAGCTACCTTAGTTTCCGTTCTAGATAGCCAGTCCAAGACTTGATCTTTCAAAGCTTCATATGCATTATATTGTTCAGCTCTTAGCTTTGACAATTTAGTTTTCTCCTCCATGAGGTTTTCTAGATCTCTCCATTGAGTTTCCATGTTTTTAACCCGATCTCTGACATTTGTTGTATCAGTGATATCGCGTCTATTTAATAAGTCCTTACCAATACCAACAACTTCTTCAAATAAAGCTCTATTGTCCTCGCGATTTTTAGCGATTTGTTTCATTTGCATTGCATATTGTTCTACTGGAGCTTTGGCTAGCTCGCGAGATTCAATTATTTCCATAATTTCGCTATACCATTTTTCAAATTTAGCCGCTTGGTTGTTAAAAGCTATCAAGTCTCTGTTCACTTCAGCAAGTAACACTCCACGATTTTGGACTCGATCAAATAATTTCTCAAAACGATTCTTAACATCGTTTAGTTTACCTTCTATTTGCTTAGCTACACGCGCATTGCTTGTAGACACAATTAGCTCATTAGCTGAAAGATATATTGAATCAATGGAAGAAATATGAGTATCAACTTCCGATTGGAAAACTTTATGTTCACGAGTTTGCTCTTCCAAACGTTCTTGTATTAACGAGGCAGGTCTTTGCATGTTTTTGAATTTGTTTTCAGCTTGATTTAGCCAGTCAATGATACCATCCAATGCATCTTGCACTCCTTGAGATTGTATTAGCGCAGTATCAAGTTCTTGGCACCTGTTTGCTATAGCGCTACTTAATTGATTGTATTTGTTTTCCACATTGTGAACTGGTTCTTCTAGGCGAGTTATTTCTGAGGGAGTTATTTGACCTTCCAGGGATCTTACCAAGGCAGCTGTAGCCTAAGATAATCAAAATATAATTTGCGTAATTTTAAGTCTAATGTCTAAGTAACTTACCTGTTTAGCATTATCAATAAGCTGTCCATTAGCAATAAATTCATTATTAAGTGTCTTAGCTTTTTGTAACTGATCTTCAACAGTTTTTGGGTCTCCTCCTATAGGCTCATTGAGTAGTTTACTAGCTCTGGGTTCAGCTTCTCTCAGCCATGATCTGGCTCTATCCAGAGCGTCTGAATAGTCGCGCTGGCAAGTTCCAACTCCGGAAAGTCTGGCTGATAGATTATTGGCTCGATTGAGTAAATCTCTGTATTGTTGAGTGACTAAAGAGACTTCACTGCGTACAGGGGACTCTTGGGACGATAGGGGTTCAATGTGTGGGAGACGTGATGGTAGTGATGTTCTGAAGTCATTCAGAATATTAAGATATTCTGTTCCTTCATCAACAAACTTTTGAGCAGATATTGTAATGAATCTTAAATCTGCTTTATGATCAATCACATCACTGACAAACTCCCTAACGCTATCAGTACTGGAATCCAACCTCTGTAAATCGCTCAAAGCCCTTTCTTTATCTTCCAAAGTTCTTCTAGCTTTATTCAACCAAGTCGAGAAGACATTCAGTTCATTCTTTAGCTTGGCAAGTTCATCTCTGGCAGACCATTGACGTCTAAGTAATTTATCTGCTTTATCTAAAGCTTTCTCGTAACGAGTTTTGAGGATACGACCACTCTTTTCCAAAGCAGAAACTTCACTTTTGGATAAAATATCACCTGCGGTCAATACAAGTTGTCTGACTTGGTCGTTACAATGAGCTACTTGGCCAGAATGTTGGTTCAAGTCGTCTTTAATTTGCTTCATGGTGTTTATTTGATTTCTGAGTTCTTCTTCCACTTCGTGGATAACGTCTTGGGAGGCGATTTTGTCTTCAATTTCACTGATCCAGAGCAACAGTTTTGATAAAGTATCGTCGCACAGTTTGTATTTCTCTTCAACGGCTTGCTAAAAATGTATTGTAGAGAATTAGTTTTGGGTGTAATACTGATTTTCAATCGGAAATTGTGGGTTAACTTCAACCAAGAACCGATTAAAAATCAGATTAGCATAAGAAGTCATATTACCATTAAAAAGGATAACAAAATACAAAAAGCATTGAATATAATATGACACTTTTTATCGATAAATCTCTAAGGTAAAGTGTCATATTTACCATAATACATAGTAGGGATTTAGCTTAATGGCTAAATAAATACCCTAGACCTATCACATGCATTCTCAAGCAAGCACACATAAATAATGATATAGTTAGTCAAAACAAAATAAATAACTAAAAAACAGGAAGAACGATGTTGTTGTTACCTATGAATGACAATAAAAAGAAAACCTGTGAACAAAATTTGATTTAAAAATTATAAGAATACAAAATAAAAAATAAAATAACTCATTATTATTGAATTAATATTTGTCTAACTACGTTGCTATTAATTAATTATTGTTAAAATTTGTTACATTATTTTTAATAAATATATTAATTATGTGCAAAACTCTACTTTAATAAAAATAAATAAAATAGTATTACTTCGAGCCATGGATGATGGAGAGATGAAATGTGGCAGCAGATTTTCAAATTTTAAAACTTATCAAGATCATTTAAAAAATGAAATCTGCATAATATTAAAACCAAATCTAAAAAACGTTACATATGAGGGTGCAAAGCGGCTGTCAAAATGCCATTTTTTGTTTTGTTTGAATGCACAATGGTTGAATACAGGCAGCGACATGAAAATGATAAGCTCTTGTGGGGACAGGGGGACGCATCAAGCTGTAAAAAATCAGTAAGTTAGGTGTCAGTTGATTTAAAAGCGTCAGAATTTTAATTGTGGTAATTGTTTTTGTTGTGGAAAGAGTGTCTACATTGAATAAACAAAAAATCAAACTGGCATCTATTAAAATTTACATTTAAAATCGTTCATCAGATTAGAATCTGGAACCCGTTGCAGACTTTTTAGACAAGCTGTTCAACAATTTCAACCACAACTTATAGGCAGTCTCCCACAACTCAGAAAACAAATATTAAAATATGGACCGATGTATGATAATTGAGTGTTTGAAAAAATAAGAGCATGCATATTACAAAACGTTTCAATATAGCAATTCGCCCATTAAAAAAGTGCAAAATCTTACTCACCCGTTGTTCGGCTGGAAGAATTAAGCCCATTTCAAGAGCTTTCGCAAAATCGTAATCTTTCTTTTCAGTTGCACAGTGTATTCTACCTGCAACTGCATCGACCACCTTTGTTTCAATACCTTGCAATATAGGCATTATAGTACCACTTTCAACGTCTTTAACCACCGTAGTACTTGGATCAACCAAATTCTGATCTATCGCTTCATTCAAAGTAAGTTTCTTTCTATCAATTATATTGGTGGTTATAAATGGATCAGAAAAGCAACCGGTTGTTGGGTTATAAATTCCATATGTAACGCTTTCTATTACAGTGAACCCAACATTTGGTGTTATCAGTAACCCTGAATCTAATGCTGCTCGTAAGGTATACAACTTAGAAGTTGCACTATCTAATACGTTGCCCTTCTCGGCTTCAATGAGGCCCTTTCTGAAGCCTTCGGGAAGTTTTATCAACTTCTTTTTATTCGAATCTTTTATTAAAACACTATCAGGGTCAATGAAACCAAGGGCGATTGAATCTTTAAGGGTGATTTCTTCATCGGAATTCGGTATAGTAAATTTACCGGTATTAATATTTAAATGACCTTCATTAATAGCTTGTTTAAAGGCCAAAGGTTCTTTCACATAAATAATTAAAGTTTGATCGTAAGTAACAATAAAGGATTTAACTTTACCCGCTTGAACATCGAAAACAACAGTTTTAGTTAACTCTAACTGACCATCATTAACAGCTTCTGCTACAGGCTTGAATCTACCAGTTTGTAAATCTTTAATAACAGCTAGTTCGAGATTCAACAACTCGAATTTAATAGCTTCGTCTAAGGCACATTCACGTAGCTGCCTTGGAGCAGCCGCAGAATCAATAACTGACTGCTGAATAAATTCTTCTTCTAAAGGCTTAGTGAGGGTTATTAAGAGACCTTTTTTAAACGCTTCGTCAAGGTTGTATGTTTTCTTGGACTTCGAATCGAGAACGCGACCTTTTTCTATGTCAATTTTACCTTCTTCTATTGCTAAAGGCAATGATTTTGTGGTATTGTTCGTAAAATCTTTAAGAGCAGTTGTTTGAGGATCAATAAATTTGTTTGTGAGAGCTTGTTTAATATCATAAAATTCGTTATTGATAGGATTTGCAAATTTACCCGATTCTGCTCTATATAAGTTATTTTGCAAGGCTTCTTCTAGAGTTAGAGGAGTACGCGAGGTAACAATAAGGCCCTTATTTTTAGCTTCTAATAAATCAACTGTTTTACCATGAGGAAACGTGTAAATACCCAAATTGTCATCAATAATTTTTGTTTCAATAGCTATAGATAGAGAAAGATATTTATTGAGTTTACTATTTTTGATAATTGAAGTTACAGGGTTTATTAATTCATTTTCAATAGCTTCTTTAAGATTGTATTTCCTACCTGTAGTGGGATGAATAAACAATCCTTCTTCCGGAATAAAAAGTCCCATTTCCAAAGCTTCTGCCAAACCAAAATTGACAGTTTCTATGTCAACAATATACCCTCGGTTAAGAGCTTCTGATAATTTTATTGGATTGTCGCTAACAAGTTCTTTGAATGTGCCGTTTCTTCTATCAATTATACCAAGCTGACATGTTTCAGAGAGATTATACAGCTTTCCTTGTTTTCTATCATAATAGCATGGCAACAATGGATTTACACTGAAGTTTCTTATAGCTTCATGCAAGGTGACTTTCCTATTTGTTGAGGGATCTGATATTTTTCCAGTATTTTCATCATACAAACCTTGATGTATTGCTCTTTGCAGGCTCACTGCCGCCTTATTGTCAACCAAAATCCCCAAATCAAAAGCTTTTTGTAAGGAAACCTCAAAGTGGTCACCTTTAGAAAAGTCTCTAACGTTCCCAGTATTACCATCAACATAATTATTATGTATAGCATCAATAAGAGGAATTTTACGCCATATTCCAACTCGAGTATCTTTAACACTCACAGATTTTGCATCTATTAAACTAATTTCAATGGCTTCAATCAGAGTCAAATATTGCCCAGTCTCAGGATCTAAAAATAGTTGAGATTCTTCATCGTAAATACCTTTAGCGATGGCTTCACTTAATGGAATAGGAGGACGGATTTCTACTAGAAGGCCTCGTTCAAAGGCCTCATTAAAGTCAACTGGCTCATTATATCTCATTAAAATACCCTCATTAGTATCAATAATACCATCAGTGACGGCTTGGTCGAATGTTACAATTTCTTCGTCAATAGTTACCAAAGTTCCCGAAATATCAACATAGCCCCTATTTATAGCACTTGAAGCCTTTAATCTTTCTTTGTTTTTCGGATTTATAAATTTGCCCGTGGTTGGGTCGTAGAAGCCTTTAAAAACAGCTTCGGGTAAAGTGATCTGAGTTTTATATGGAACTATAAGACCGCGTTCTTGAGCTTCAATCAAGTTTATTTCACTATTCGTTATTGGATCATACGCTTGTCCTTTAACTGGGTCTATGAGTTTGTTTTGAATGGCTTCGTTAAGTGTTATAATATCTGCAGATTTTGGATCTTTAACTGTTAAAACATTAGGATTAATTATGCCACCTTCAATTGCTTGGCTAATAGTGACATTTGTGTCGTTGAATATTATCAAACCAGAATTGGCATCGTAAACGTTTTGGGCTAAAGTTTCTTGTAAAGACCATGGTAGTACAGTGCTTAAAATATAGCCTTTAAGGTAGGCTTGATCTAAAGTAAGTGGTGGGTTGGTTAGCAAACCTTTTTCTGGATCAATTAAATTGTTTTCAATGGCTTCTTGAATTTCTACAATACGGCCCCGCCTATCGTCCTTAATTCTTGTGGTTACTGGATCGACTAATTTGTATTCAATAGCTTTGGCAAGTGTAATTTCTTCACCTGTTATAGGATTCAAAATTAAGCCTGTCTGTGGTGAATAATAATTAGCCAAAATTACTTGAAGCAAATTAAATACTACTGGTTTGGTACGTATTAGCTGTTGTCCTAAAGCTTCATCAAATGGCACTAACTGGCCAGTTTTTGTGTCTTTAATTTTGCCATCATTGCCGTTAACAATATCTTTAGTAATGGCATCTTCCAAAACGACAAAGGTATCGTCTTTGGTATCTTTAATTTCGCTTATTTTATCATCGACAATTTGTCTTTTAATAGCTTCAGTGATTGGCAATAATTGTTTTGTTAAAGGATCTTTAATTTTAGCTGATTCGCTATCGTACATGCCTTTGTGAATCACCGCTTGTAAGGATATAGGACGTGGCATTGCTAGAACCAAACCAGTCTGGAAAGCTTCTGTAAACGAAACAGTCTTTTGTGTTGAAGTATTTATAATAAGTCCACGTTGTGGATCAACAATTTGCTTATCAATAGCTTCATAATAAGGAACTAATTGCATATTTTTAGGATCTTGAATTGTTACTGATTTGGGATCAACAATATTCGTGTTCAAAGCTTTTATAAGAGGTATAGTTCCAGTGTTAGTTCTGACTTCAACTTTTTCTGGATCAAATTGATCAGTTTCCACAATCTCCTGAAGCGTTATCGGTTTATATTTTTCCTTAGGTTTATCGTCAACATGAATAATCCAACGTAATTTAACTGCTTCAAAGAACGGTACACGCTTGCCAGTTTTTGGATCAACCATATATCCAGTTTGACGGTCCATTAGTGGCCTTTCTAGGGCTTCATGCAAAGTAACATAAGTTGGTGGTTTTTTGGTTAAGTCTTTAACTAAAACAGTATCTGGATCGATAACTCCCAGTTCATAAACTAATTCTTCAAACGTTATATGAGCTCCAGATTGTGGATCCACAAACATTCTTTTACGCAAATCATAATAACCTAATTCAGCCAATTTTTGGCCAGTCATGTGCTTGGAAATAGTAATAACAGCATTTTTGTGAACATCAACAAGAATCACTCTATAATTCGAAATTACTTGCACCTCATCCAAAGGACTTATTTTCTTTTGATCCAAACCATCTTGCACTGTGTAAGGTAGTTCTTTACTTCCATAAATAATACGACATATTTTTGGTTCGATTAGGTTTTGAGAAATGGCATCTCCAATAGCTAAGATTTGAACTATGTCTGGACTGGAAAGTGATTCTTCTTTTTTAATTATGTGCACTGTAGATGTACGTTGTTGCGGCATTTCTACTTCAACTACTTCAACTTGGAGTGACTTTTCTTGTTCGTGCATGATGAATTCTGAACTGACATTTTGTCTGGAAGTGGTTGATTTTTCTCTTTCTTGTTTCTTTTTATCAGCATAATCTTTAACAGCATTTACAGCAGCTACTCCCGCAGCTACTGGAGCAATAACTGGTAAAGCTAGTCCTCCCAACACCGCAATTAATCCTTTTTTTGTAGCTTCTTTGAAATTAATGCTTTTGCCAGTTTTTTCGTCTTTCACTTTACCAGTTTGCTTATCAATTAAACCTTTCTCAACAGCTTGTTCCAGGGTTATTGGTTTTTGTGAAGTCACATCATAAACAATCGAATTGGGATCAATAATTTCCTTTTCCAAAGCTTCTTGGAACGTTATTTCTTTTTTATTATCTGACATGTCAATAAATTTCTGTGTTTTTTCATCGTAAATTGTTTCAAATGCTTCAGAAATATTTAGTTCGGACGTTTTTGTTGTAGCTATATTGGTTTCCTCACTAGTTCCTTGAGGCTCAGCACTAATTTTGCCTTCTTGTAAGGCTTGTTGAATTGGAATTGATTCACCTGATTTTGGATCAGTGAACGTGCCAGCATTCATATCGACCAGGCCTTTATTAAGTGCATCAGAGAATGACATATGAATATCTTTAATAACTGTTTTATTTTTAGTTTCATTAATATCTTTAATAATGCCTTGGTTCTTAGCTTCTTCAATAGAAATAATTTGACCGGTTTCAATATTTTGCACTTCATTTTTATTCAACATAGCGTATCCAGCTAAAATTTCAATTGTCTTTGTGGTTACTGTATGGATAGTATTCACAGTTTCTGTTACTGTTGTAACAGGAGCGCTGGTACTGAAAGAAATTACGCTTGTGGGTTCTTTAACAATAAGTAACCCCTTTTCAACAGCTTCAGATATGGGGTAGATTTCCTTGGATAGTGGATCTTTGAATGTTCCTGAATCTGTATCGATCAATCTGGAATCCAAAGCGTCTTCTATATTAATGGCTTTTTGAGAAACTGGGAAAGGTAAGGCCATAATAAGGTTATCTTTAATTGCTACATCAAGGGATATAGCTTCTCTAGTAACAGGATGTAAAATTTCTTTCTTTTCGGTATTCACAAGGCCAAGTTTAATTGCTACGGGTAATGTCATACCTGCTGGAGGCAAATCCAATGGACCAGAAAGCTTGGTTTCATCAAAAACATTCTCTTCAACAGCTTCTTGCAAATTTTTAACACCAGCTCTAGTTGTTACAACAGATGTTTCATCATCAACGACTCCGCTTTCCAGAGCTTCACCTAAGGTGATTGTATTGCCAGTTTTTTCAACTAACGTACTTAATGGATCTACAATATCACAGATAATTGCTTCGCTAATACTTAAATGCGCTCCAGTTTCGGGATGCACAACCTTTTGTGTGGCCACATCGAGCAGTCCTTGCTTTATTACTTCAGGGATTGATAGGCTATGATTTAAGGGCACTAAAATTTCATTGGATCCGTCTGGATCTAGAATACCACGAGAAATTGCTTCGTTTATGGTTAATTGCTCGCCTCTTTGAGGATCTACAATAATACCTTTATTTCCATCGAATTTGTTCAACTCTAAAGCTTCCTGTAAAGTAAGGGTTCCTCCCTCTTCACTTATGAAGTTTGTTTTGTTTACCAGCAACGAAGCGGCATCGGCTTCAATAAGACCGGATTTGGCTGCATCTTCTGGATGAACAATTTTTCTGCGGAGTTTTTGCAAAACCACTTTTTTAGCTTCTCTCTCCGGACTTAAAGATTGAGCTCGGCCAATTTTCACTTTATAGGTAGGCTCGATGGTTATCCTTGCACGCGTTTTTTGACCTTCGGATGGACCATCTTCATCATCCAAAGTAATTGTCGTTGTGTCTAAGAGTTTTATTTTAGCAGAGGATTGTGTTTTTAAATCTTTCATTTGTTGAGGTGTGATAACTCCTTTGGCAAGAGCTTCTTCACTGGAATATGTTTTACCAGTTTGAGGATCAGTTATTTGAACAGTAGTTCCTTGGCTTGCTAGTTCTTGTAGCTCTTGCGGAGTAATAATGCCTTGTTGAAGAGCCTCTTCACTTGTATACGTTTTGCCAGTTTTTGGATCTGTAATTTTAATAACAGTGTGTGTTGAAACCGTTGCGGTTTCGATGGAACTTTGCCGTTCTAGCTCTTCTAATTCTAGGAGAGTAACAATACCTTGATCTAAAGCTTCCTGACTAGTATATGTTTTGCCTGTATTTGGATCTGTAATTGTTAAAGTAGTGTGCGTTATAGCTGTTGTGACTTTACTTTGTTTTTCTAGCTCTTCCAGTTGAAGGGGTGTAATAATGCCCTGATTCAGAGCTTCTTGGATGCTGTAAGTTTTGCCAGTGTCGGGATCAGTAACGGTTACAATAGTGCTTTGTGTTTTTGATTGTTTCAATTTTTCAGGTGAGATAATGTCACGCTTAGGTGCTTCATCACTAGTATCACCCGTTTTATCTCTTTTGGAAAGTGTTACATGAGTTCCGTTTTCCAGCTCTAATTTTCCTATTTCCTGAGGGGTAATAATACCTTGCTTAAGTGCTTCATTAGTGGTGTATGTTTTTCCTGTCTTCGAGTCAGTTATGGTTAGAGTGGGGTGACAAGTTATAGTGGTAGTTTGTCGTGTTGTCGTTTCTTCCTGCTGTTGAGGAGAGATGATCAGTTTTTCAAGAGCTTCCTGGCTACTATCAATTCTACCTGATTTGATATCTGTAATTTTTGTCACTTTTTGGATTTTATTGGCATAATCTAAATCCTCTTGCATTTTTTCATAAGTTGCCAAATCAATTATGCCTTGTTGTAAAGCTTTTTCTGCAAGAATTTTTTCTCCAGTTTTTGGATTGACCACATATAAACTTTTAATAGTTTTAACTACGGAAGAAACTGCTGCTATTGGTGCTCCTGCCACAATAACAAAACCAAGTTTCACAGCATCTTTGACCGATATTTTTTGGCCCACTTTATCAGTATATTGGTCCTTTTCTGGATCAATAATATTTCGTCTTATGGCTTCTTTAACTTCCACAGTTTTACCTGTAAAAGGATCAATCACTGTAACACTATCTGAAGGAATTTTGTTTTCTTTTGCCGCAAGAATTAAATTAATTGCTTCATTATTTTCTGTATTTACTATTAAGTTTGCAGAAGGATCATAGATAATTCCTGGTATTACCTCTACTGGTTGATGAGCGGAAGCACCATCAGATATCTTATCTTCAGTATAATCAGGTGGGTTTTTAATAAGTATTGTTGACACTTCAACTCTGGAAGGCTTTCCATCTTTAGTAACTTGTAGCAATCTTGTGGGTTGATCAACTTCCATAGGTTTTTCTAATAAAATATAGCCGCGCTTGATGGCTTCTTCTATGGTAAGCAGTTCCTGGCCAATTTTATAATGACCCGTGCAATCAAGTATCTTTTTGTCCAAAGCTTTTTTAATACTGAGTTTCCTTTTCGTTACTGGATCAATAACAGTAGCCGAGTTGGAACTTATAAGTTGCAAGCTTACACATTCTTCAAAACTTGCTAAACGATCTGTGCCAGGTATTATGAACAAACCTGTGATTGGATCAAAATATTTCTGGCTGATTGCTTCAGATAGTGACCACCCATCACTAGGTAACTCATAAACTTGCTTTTCAGTTGATTTTTTATCTGCTTTGTGAATAGGAGTTTCTTTTTTGCTAAGTATAGTGATCACAGTTGAAGTAGGAGTTTTAGGAGTCATAATTTTTTCGGAACTTTCTACATCAGGTGCCAGTCTACCTTCGCTTATAGCCTGAATAATTGGAATAATTTCGTTTGTAATAGGGTCTCTAAAAGTTTGTTGCTCATTACTAATTAAACCTAACCTTAAAGCCTCTGTATAGGTAATAATTTCTTGTTTAATGTCTTTACTAGTTACAGTAACATATCTTTGAACTAGAGTACGAGTTATTTTAGTGGATACGTTAAGATTTAATAAGCTGTTTAACATAGCTGCGCCCTCAGGGGTAATTAGATGCTGCGCAATGGCTTCGTTAAGATATACGGTTTTGTTAGTTTTAATATCAATTAAATTGCCGGTTTTAGAATCTATGTAGCCTTTAAAAACTGCTTCAATAACTGAAAGTTCTTGTTGATTATCGAAAATTCCTACATTACGAGTTAGCATTTCATAAACTTCTGGTTTCACCTCGCCAGATTGAACGCCTTCAGAAAATGTAATTAACTTTCCGCTCTTCTTATTAACTAATAAACTGCCGTTATTTTTCTTACTTATAAAACCTTTAGCGCTAGCTGCATTAAAGCTAATATGGTCGGACTTATCAGGTGGTTGAAAACCATCTACATCGAAAATTGATTTCCTAACTACTGAAATTATATATCCTCTATTTACAGCTTCTGTTACGGTTATAACTTCGCCGGTAACGGAATTTCTAAATGTACTATTGGGTAATATTATGCCTTCCCGCAGAGCATCGTTAAGGGTGATAAGATCGCTTGTACGGAAATCTAGAATTGATTTAATTTGGTCGACGTCTAAAACGCCACGATTTGCCGCTTCTAGAAGAGTTAATCGAGAGCTGTGTAAAGGGGATAAGATTTTACCCCCCTCATCCATTAAGTTATCGTCAACAATTTCTTTTAAAGTTTTTGGTTTAATTATTAATTGCCGCCGTTTAGCTTCGAGAAAAGATATTTTTTCATGGCCTAAAACGTATTTACCCAACTTTGGATTTATAATACCTTTATCTATAGCTTGAATAACAGTTATTTTAGTATCGAGTTTTGGATCGACAATTTCCCTTAAATCATCCTCAATAATATTACATTTACATGCCGCATCAATTTGATATTTATTACCCGAATTCCTATCGATAATCCAGCCCGTAACGTCATCAATCAGCCCTTGGGTAATGACATCAGTTAAAGCCAAAGCTCCCGTTTGTAATTTAACTTCCGTATGCTGCAAAAGGTAACCCCTCTTGTAAGCCTCTTTTATATCAATAGTTTCGCCAGATTCTAATGTATAAGTTCCGGAAGTTACATCAACTTTTCCATCATCAATGGCCTCGTTAATTGTTATGGAATGTGTTACCTTTGGTCGTTTCTCCGATGAATCGCCATGTTCAGCTTCAAAAATATCTCTCTGAATTACTTCAAGTAAAGTTAACTCGTGGCCGTCTTCTTTAATACCGCACGGACTTTGGAGCTTCTCAGCTACTTTGGGTTCTATAAGACCTATTCTTTTAGCTTCGTCAATGGTAACTTGAGTACCATCAGGTGAGCAAATAATTTTTCCTGTACGCACATCTAAAATTCTTTGCAATATCGCGTCGCGTACAGTCATTTGTTCTCCGGTATAAGGATTGATGATACCGGCGATATCGGTAATATTTTCGGTACCGATGCCTTCGTGTACTTTGTGTATTCGTTTCAGGGATTTAATTTCCGAGAATCGCATTGAGGTACCCCAATTTTGGGGTACTTCTTGTATAATTTGCGTTAGGGTGGTATGTTTATCAGGAGGCCGACCGTTTGCAATTTTATCGGTTTCGTCAAACGGGCGATTTTGTTGGTTATCGGATATTTTAATGCTGGTACCATTTTCAGTTCTAGTTGTCTGGATATATCTAGATTTAATTAAATAACAATGTTAAATGATTGCTGGATGAATGAGATATGAACTTTTTAATTAAAGCTAGTGACTTACTGTTTACTGTAGTGAGTGGTTGTGGTGTAGGTTGAAGTGTGCTCACTAGCACTGCTCATGTGGAATTCAGTTCTAAATGTTCGGAAAGGCTGAGGTTGCATTTGTTCGACCAACCGCTAAAAGAAATCAATAATATACATCAGGTTTTTCTCTTTTGCTGGGTAATCGCCTATCAATTATTTAATCTATTAACCTAGAAAACACGACCCAGAAAATTGATGTCTGAAAGTGCGAAAAAATTATAAAGAAAAGTGCAATAAATTTTGATAGAATATAAATAATATTCGAGAGAGCATTGCATTGACTGTTCATTATTTTCATTTATGAAAGAGTTTTTTTGTTAAAATGCTGACAATTTCTTGACCTGGCTCAACGAAGGGTGTGCTCCCAAAGTATTGATTGGAGTTTAAACATGTGGATGGCGAAGATTCCGCATGAAAAATGTAATATTATTTGTAAATAAAAATATAAATTCAAACAGAATAATCAATGGGCATCAATAATTAACCATCATGAGTGTCTAACCTGTCTGACCGAATATCTATAAATATTTAAAGCGTATTGCGTCGAGTTCAAGTTTGTTTAGTTAGTTTATATGGAGAAATTTGTTTCGCAAAATATAGTGTATAATTGGTGATTCAAGGTGACAAGCATAGATGGATGAAATTTGATATTCTAACGCTTAAAGCTTGATGCTGTTTGCCTACACATAAAATCAAAGGTGGTTTTCTTTAACCCACGCTTGGTTTCAGTTGGTTCGAGAATCTGCAATTCAATAATTGATATTTTACACATACACTTAATATACAGTGTGGTTATTTAAGTGTGCAACATATGGGATTTTTTTTTAGTAATAGCACAACCAAAATACAAACAAGGCCAAAAGTTGGAGCATGTCTGCAAGGAGAATGGTTGCAAGTCAAACAGCATACAGGGTAGCTCAAAAAATAACAAAATCGTACTATGGTGAAGTACCCTTATTTTAGAAAATTCATCAAAATGTTATTGAGAAAAGTTGTTTGGAATTAAAAGTTATGCCGAAATACCAAAACATGGCCTTCTAAGATTTTTAATTTTTTTTTTTCGAAAAACATTATTTATTTGTATTTTTTTTATTTTTTATTCCTGCCCTTGATATTTTCAAAAATTAACTAAAATCAAATCAATTTTAAATAACTTGGTTCAAATTCAAGCATATTTGTAAAATTAACTTAGATTTTTAATTTCTTATGGAATCAACTTTGAAATCTCGCAATTTTTTTTCAACAAGTTAAAACATTACTAATGATAATATGCATATTTAAATAACTCTCCTTAAAACTCTCCAATTTTGCTGAATTTTCTAAAATAAGGGTACTTTACAGTACAATTTTGATATTGTTTGAGTTACCTTGTATGCTGTTTGACTTGCAACCATTCTAAGTGCACTTAATAAAATACGAACAATGACATCAGAATTGAAAATATCTATCTTAATAAATTCTCAGGTAAAAAACCAACTAGTAATTATTATCCTTGGCCGAAGTATTGACTTTATAAAAGATCTCCCATTTTAATTATATTGGATTTCATGTTAATAAATGTGTTCGTTTAAAAACCTCAATGGTTTAAAATGTTGATAACTACCGGTTCTGCCATAACCTTCTCATTCAACTGTATTTTTTTTCGTAAGGTATGACATTCCGAGTGACATTCTTCTGTTTAATGTTGTGATAAACAAATTAAAAGAAGTTTGAAAAAATAATGATTAGAATGGATAACTTGCCTAATATTAGAAATAATTAAAATAGATGATCGAAATCACAAATGTTTTAAAAACTTAAAATATCGTTTGGTAAGTGGTAGGTATTGATCGCATTAATTATTATAACACTGAGAATTTTGGGGAGGTGCCAAACTTTTGATCCTATATAAGCATGGAGATGCCTAAAAATTTATGTGGCGCCCTTAATAATGTAGAATGGTCTTTAGAACTGAAAAATAAAACCATTGCAAAAGTGAATGCCAAGCATTAGTAAAGTCAAACAACACGACGTGTGTATTGGATAAAATTTGGAAATCATTGATCTAGTGGTGACAGATTAATCCGGATTTTGTGACCGAAAAAAAAAAATATGCCCATTTGGCTTTTTGCCAAGCAGACACACACATTGGATAAGCTGCTGATATATCGTTCTTAGGAAACGTGTTCCGCAATTTCCGATTCAAACCTAATTTACAAACTTATCCACCTCCCGTATACTTTACTGATAAGTACTCTACATTTTCTATATTATATTTTTGTGTTACTATATCATGGTTGTACTATTATGCTCTGGTTGAGATAGGAAGCGGTCCTTTAACTCCGCTAATTGTTTTGTTTTATGTTTATAACGTGAATCATAATAAAGCCATTCATTATTATGACACCTACACCATGGTGGCACTTTGCGGCCCGGCGGCAAATTGTGCCCGCAAATAGGTGAATTGTGGCCCGGTCGTATATAAAAGTAATTTTTCAGAAATTCCCAAAACACATAAATATAAAAGTAATGACCCAATTGAATAGCTGATACTAAATTGTTTAAATATACTTATAATGAAACTATTTGGATAATTTACAACTTGTGTAAAAAAATTATCTTGAACAATTATTATTATTGTTATGCTGCTCTGCAAGTGCTTAAGATTAAAGGATATTCTACAACTTGAATCAAGGTTTATTATTAGCTGTGAACAATAAAATGAGTATTGTGCCCCAAAAATACTGTGTGTGTATGTAACTGATAACTGATGATAAGGCATTTTGTTCGATAAGAGTTTATCGAAACTTTTAGAAAAGGATCTAGGTTGCGTTCTAGGTCAATGTTGTTTCAATATCGTAGAACTCAAAGCTGCCAAAATTCAGGGCTGTGTTTTAAAGAACTCTAAGATAATGTGGGCAGGGTAAACGAACGATGCATCTTTCACTTATTGATTAAGTTTGATTTATGTAATTTATATTTTTACTCTTAACTAAGCCGTAGATGCGAGACTGTTTTTTTTTAGACGACAGAAAATTTGAAGAATGCTTACCCAGGGTACGTTGGATAATTCATGGCTAAAATCGTAATCCTTACTCATGTTTAACTTTAACAATAATAATTATTATAAAAATAAGTATTTATCGCGTATCAAATCACTATTTATAAAGCACAGCCCGAAAATCTAGTGTCGATTAGTAATTAGATAATTAATAATTTCGCGCCATATGTTTTCAATTATTATTATTTTCACTTGAAACTTTTGCCGGTAAAGAGGAAATTCGACACATACATACTCCCGTTCCGTGTTCGACTGACAACTAAACCAAACCGCGACTCGCGTTTTCATGATAACGCAAATCCCATTGATGATCGACCCACCGGACTGCGCGAACTCGTCCAAAAACTGTTGTTTTATTTTTAGCGTTGATGGAAGTTTGTAAAATTAATTACTCAAATACAATTAGCACATTCAGCTAGAGATTATTTTTGAATTGTTATCTTTCTGAAGAAGGTGTCAGTTTTGAAAATAGACATGATGTTCAATTATGTATTATTGAGATGCTTAACTATCTTGATGAGAACACTTCAATTTGTACATTTGAGCAAAGAAAAATTGTGTGAAATGTGCTACCTATATATAAAAGCATTTGGTCTGCGAATTGAAATACTTTAGAGGCTTTTAAAGCCAACACAACAAGATGAGCATTCTAGAAAAAAAAAGAAAAGAAACCCGCTATTCTAGACGGCATTTTGATTTGATTTTTTGAAAAGGCTCGAAATATAGAATAACCAAAATAGATTTTGTTCAGTGAGCAAAAAAAGCAATTACGGTTTATTTACCGTCAGGTGACTGGGTTATACACAAAAAGGTTCGTGTTTTTGCCAAATTCTTTTTATATCCGTGTATTGTGTTCTCAATGAGCAGATTTCTCAGCGAAATGTTCAGGTAGAAGACAGAAACAAGCTCCAGATTTAATTGAAAACTCAGAAAATGTCCCGAAAAAAATTACCAAAGAATAGGATTAAGTACATTTAAAGAATACTTAGGTCAATATCCTACATAACGTTTGTTTCTCGTGAATATTGGTCATTACACTCGGAAATTCAAAATTTTAACACTTTAAGTGTATGTTTTCCCATAAATAGAACCAGTCTGACAAGAAACCAAGTACTAACGTTAGGCGCGGATTTTTGAATTTTCACAAAAACAGCAATTAGGTTCCAGTTTATACTTAGCAGTAGTTTATAATAGGTTTGTTTGTTTGTGTTGTTCGGGGCAGCACTTCCTGCTTTAGGGTGTTCGTTTGTGAGCGTTTGTATCTGCCATAATCTGAAATATTACAGCTTAGTTTAAGTTAGTGCGAAACAAACAAACAAACCTAATATCAAGTGCTAAAAGACTATTCCATATAGTCAAGTCATAATTAACAAGTCGTGTTTGTTTGCGTTTATGTTAATTTATCTATTTTGCGCCGGAATATGATAATTTACAGCCCACGCACCCAGTGCCCAATATGGTAGCGCCGGGGAAAGGGCTTCAACTGTGCACCTTACCACCCACATGGATCTAGAATTAAATTTATTCAACGAGTTCTGACCAGAGTACAATTTTTTCGTTTTAATTACAAATTATTTTATCTTAAGATTCTCAGGTCTTGAATGCACACTAGCACACTCCGGTATACAAATTTTGGTAGTTGGTAGGGATAAAAGATCAGCGAATATCTTTCTCAGATTTCAGTCGTAAGTGGTGCTATTTCATCTTCACATATGTCTCGGTGCAGTCGTAGCTGTCGGATTTCTTAAGGAAATGGTTACTCAGCTATCGGAGTGTCATGAGCTCTGTGGCACTGCAAGGCTCATTATTTTTTCAGACACTTTCTTTTTACCGGTGAAGTATCTATCTATCTATGAAATTATGCAATATCAGGCTGAAACTGATACAATTTCAACTAGCTACGATTCTATAATATACAATTTCAACCGAAATGTTCAGACAATTTCTGGAATTTACAGTTTTCATGCCTAATGATGACCCTTTAAACCAGTGTTCTTGTTTATCTATGATTTTCGCCACAGTCCATGGATGTTGTGTTGCTACTCCCATACAT